ATTATATATGGAAATTTAGAATATAGAGTAGTTAGGCAACCAAGGAATGAAAAGCGAGATTAGGCAAATCATTTTGAGAGTGATTATGTAGGAATAATATGATTCGCAGGGATTCTTTTTCGAAAACATTTTTTTGGGTGCAAAGAGATCACGAAAATGAGACAAATTAAAGAGTCATCATACGAATTTTTCGAACAAGCACAATTACCAATGGACGGAGCAAGGACAGGATTGAGACTGAAATACGCGAAAAGGACAAGAGAAAAGTAAAAGCAAAGATTGAAACGCAAGTCGAAGAGCATTATTCCATCAAATATTGGAAGAGTGGCTACTCCACTGAGAASGATAACCATGCYTGGCTGTGGACGACTACCTCAAAAAGRAAAGTGGATCAAGTTCTTCCACTATTCTGCTAGCCCACTACGCACTCATAGAAGCACAGTACGAAGCAATTAAACTTATCTTCGCAATCTAATCAGGTGGCGGTACATAGCAAAAGAACATCATCGTCGCAGATTGCAACCTGAAAAAGAARGAAACTAAGACAAGAGCGAGGGCTAAAGCGATYCAAGTGAACCCAGTTTGCCCAAGGTGTGCTATACATACATCTTCCCCAYCCTTGCTCAGAAACAATCGAAGCCCATCAATTGAATATATTGTCGACGCCGAAAAAAAAACCATTACGAACCCAAAGGTCATAACGACAAGAACCCCTCGCAACTCCATTGCACCTTCGATCGAACAGGACTATCCTTTCTTCAAGACTACAACGTACCAAAACAGCGACACCACAGCTGTTGGTAACTTCTTAACAACCCGTCGATCCGCACAACGATCGGAGCTCCTACTCCCTTCAAATACTACATGCGAGTGCAAACCCTCAACTGTATAGGTTTATTTCTGGAATTAAGAGGGCCGCAGAAAGAATTGACACCATTGAAGTGAAGGGCCGATAATTCCATGACCACAAAGAAGGTTAACAAAGATAAGAAGATTGCAAAGATTGTCACAATGGCCACTGAAAGATGATCGGCGTCCATTAGGAAGTAGCGTTTAAACTCATGTTACTCCTGATCATCAGTAGAAGTCAATTCCTGCGATACGACCCAGCCACAGAACATAAMAGAAATGGAGCAAAAAATGATAAGTAGCAATCATATTCAATCAAGCAAAAGAATCATACAGCAAAAAAGGTAAAAAAAAAAAAAACGGGGAAAAAAAAAGGAGGAAGAAGGGTAGGCCCAATTCAGTTAAACGGCCCCAAGGTGCCGRCGAAACAATAGGGTTACACGTAATAATTCCCAAAAGTTTTTTCACCAATCCCCATGTTGATTGGCTCATCAGGGGAGAAGCTAACCCAAAATATTCGCTATGAAAGGGACAGGGCATTCATTCATGCCCTTAAGGGAATAGGGAGGAGGACAAAGACTATAGTAGGGGGGGAGGAAAGATAGAGAAGGCTTCAACAGATATGTCAACACGGAGGAGGGGGGGTTTGGAGCGATGGACTAATTTACCACTCCAGTAGCTGAAGACGACGGATCATTCATTACCATAGCAGATCCCGTGAAAAAACTCTTCTATCAAGGAAGGCGATGGACTAACAATTTCAAAGGTAAGCGAATCTGGGAAGCTTCGTAGTAGCGAAAGGAATGGGGAAAGTTAAAGCGATGGAAGAGAAGGCAAGTGGGGGCAGTGAAGGAGGGAAGAGGGAGGAGGCGGGGAAACGGAGTCTTCAAACAGTAACGCAGCAGTTCCGAGAACGCATCGTTTGATCGGCGCGGACGCGGGATCGGGGGCCGCCAGAGGTATGCACAAAATGCTACCGTATTACTGACGATCGGAGGAAGGCATACTTCAAGCGGCACTAGGAAGAGGACTATCACTGATCAAGGGCAGTGCTAAATAGTAGTTTCGAAGAGGCGGCGGCTAATCCAGCTCTCGCGGAGACCTGAGAGTTGTGCATGCCAGATCGTAGGACTAAATTGATGATGAATCAGTATGAGATCCTGAGATAAGTGCAGGGCGGTAGCTATACTGTCTTAGAGGCTCAGGGAAGGGCAGTACCGGAAGAAATCGGCAGTCACAGGTCAAAAATGTTTAAAATATAACCCTTAGCAGTATGGAGGAAAAAAACCTCACGCCTATATTTTATGGTGCTTTGTGTACTCAACAGTCCGGTAATCATTTTTAAATATACATAAATAACCTAGGCTACCAGTCGGGCCGCCCGGGTCCCGTGACCAGCCCGTGCAAGGAATAGGGAAGGTCCCAGCAAAAAAAAGAACATAAAAAAAATCCGGAAAAAAACTATGTTATGGAGAAAAATAAACTGAAGAACGTTTGCCTCTGGGTCATATGAAAATTCTGCACCAAATTAAAAAAAAAAAAAAAAGTAAAAATATTTTTTTTTATTTTTATTCTTTTAATTGTTTTTTGCTGAGCCGGGCAAGTGACCCCGGACCACTATGGTAGCCTAGTAAATAACTTTTTATTTTTTATTTTTTATTTTTTACTTTTTATTTTTTATTTTTTTGTATTGTTGTTTTTTTTCACACATTGTCATCCCCTAATGTTTTTATAATTTTTTTTTATTTTTTTTTTAAATTTTTTTGAAGGGGTGAAATTGTATTTATATATATATATACACTCATATATATGAATGTATGCTAGTATGTGTGTGTGTGTGTGTGTGTGTGTGTCCCACCCCTGTCCCGCTGGCAGGTATACCGTTTGAGGCAGGTAGCAGGTACCTGCCTCAAAAGGCGAGGTGCCTGCGAACCACCATAACAGTCCTGACCGGTCGGGACCGAAATAATATTATATACGCAACACAGACAGACCACAAAGCACACGTATCTAAGAATTTGCCATTTGTCAAGTTAAAACAGTTACCTTGAATTTGAAATATGTGGCCCGCACGTCCAATCTGGGTTTCAGATATAGTTGTGGAGAGTCAAGTACTCTGTACACAGTCTGTAAACACTTCTGTCGCTGGAAGCCATTGTGAATCATTTCCTTAACAAGAAGCCAAATTTCCTTTGCCGCATCCTCAGGTTGCGAACAGATCACCAATACAGTGGCCACTTGGGAGAGAATGATATTGATGGATTGGTGGACATGCCTATTAGAGCGAAATTTGACATATTTGGAGATTGGAAAATCCAATAATCTTCGTTTATCAAATTTTGTGGTGGCGAAGGCACCCGTTAAATCCGATGTGACGGTAATATCCAAATTCAGAAACTGAGCTTTCCTCCTATAAATTTTCCCCGATGTGGTTTCGGAGAATTCTTCAGTCTGATTCTTAATTTGAATTAGGCTCATAGGATAGAGGTGAAAGATATTATCCTCAGTTCTGGGTTGATTCAGATTTAAGAATTTTAGAATTGAAGGATTGTTTAGGCAATGGAGGTCGTCAATGTACCTAAACGAATCCTTGAACAGAGGGAGGAACTCAAAAGCCCTGTTATTGACAATTCTTAGGATAAGGCGATACTCATACTTAAAAAAATAGATGTTGCAGAAAGATGGCGAGCAAGGGAGCCCCATCGGGATTCCAAGTACCTATCTCCAGAACTTTCCACAAGGGAGGTGTAACATCTATCCAACAGCCACTGAGCGAGCATTAGGACGGTTCATAGAAAGGTAAAAAATTCTTTTTGAATCTTTACCCGTTTTCTTAACGAACTTACAAGACCTTTTTCCGGACACTGCACATATATACTTTAGGATCGTTCTTACACCCGACCTCTCAACCATTTTCCAGGCTATATCCAGAAAAAATTCCAAAGCATTAGGAAGCCCATCCGGATCCTTTCCGATTGGAATAGTTTCAAAGCATCTTGAAATATCAGCAGAGAAAACCGAATGAACTTTTTCAGGTAAACTATAGCAGGAATCCTGAATGGAATCGATTGTCCACCAGATTGATGTTCGGACACCATGGAAGGCAAGAATGCCATCAGTGATTTCCTTACACCTTTTCTTCGCAAAGGGAATCAAGGCTTTAAGACATTCATCACAAATAGTCACAAGGGGGGTGAGGAAAGTTGAGGCTGCATTGGTTAGCCACCTAAACGACTTCTTGTGATGCTTGTAGAGGGCCATTAGATATGGAATTTTAGGGGGACCTAGAGTAGCCTTAGGTAAAATACTGGACAGGGATTGACGGACTTGGAAAAGGATTTCCTCATAAGAGATGGACATTCTACAAAGTCAGAACTACTAAGTCTGTCCAACGTCATCCTTCTTACAAGATGAATGCACGTAAGAGACGGAGTGTTAGCCGCTTTGTCAGTATCTGAAATGAACAATTTGTTGTCAAGGAAGTTGATTTCATGCTTAACCGGGTGAGAATTTAAAGCACATGGTGGGTCTCGGATTCGTTTCAGGAAAGGAAGGAAAAGTTGTTTTGAAATTTTTCAGCGTACAAATTTATCAGCCTCCTTGATTGCTGCAGGAGGAAGAAAAGTCCTAGACCCAATAAAATTAATGATCTTGTTCCAGACGACAAGATATTCACCTTTGACTTGCGCCACAATCATCGGTTGGGTTGGAATATGGTTCATCCCTTCCCTTAATAGACTCGTCAACACACGATTGTTAGAGATAGATGGGTTTAGTGAAAGAACGTGCGTGGATGGGGATGGACAGAGTGGCGCCATACCCAAAGTAAAGTCTGCATGAAAGGGTAGGAATCTTGGACTGAAACATGGACATGTTAGTTCCTAAGAGCAGGCTGCCAACCAATCATTAAGGGCGAACTCGTTGAAAACCTTGGCGGGTTTGTACAGAACCGATTCCAAGGATTGAGTATAGGTCCACCCGATTACAATCGAGGCGAGAAGGATAATGGTTGTTCCTGAGAAGAAAATTTCAAAGGCCCTTTTCAGGATGACCCTGAATTGCCCTGTTAACATATTTCAAATGGACATGTAGGCTGACTTTTGGTTGCTGTCCTGTTATCCATTTGCTTCTTCCAGTTTCATCCTGTACCATGTGGTTTTCAGAATCATGCACAAGATAAAAGTAAAAGAGTTAGACAAACAAATGAGATTAGGATACTACTTGGAGAAGAGCATCATCCTTGCTCTTGAAGTCCTAGGGCTTCTTCTAGGATGGTTGTTCAAACCAGATGTTCCCACAGAAGATTGGAATGAAACAGTAGACTCTGGTGGTGTCTCTGCTGACACAGAGCTTACAATCTGGCCGGCTGGAGTGACTGGTTGCTCCTATCTGCGAACGGGTAGCTGGTCCGATTGAGACTGACCGAGATTCTGCGCCGGTCTAACGTAATACGCAATGATGGAGTTTTTCTGCTTCTTAGCAGGAGGGGCGTCCTTCTCCTTCCGTCTCTGTTGCTTGGAGGGGCTCCTGATGTACTTGTCCGGTAGGATGAGAGTTGTCATCTTCCTCGGGAATTTGCGCGCCATCACTATGGGGTCATCGAGGATTGTTTCAACCCTCGTACTAGGGTTAAGGATGACACTTTCAGCCATCCTTTGCATGATATCCCTCAAGTGCGAAAAGACCACAGAGGCAAGGATCGGGACTCTCCACGTTTTCTTCATAAAATTCCTCATGGCCCTGATACGAGCCCTGAGCATGAGGGCGGCTAGGTACAAGTACTCAAGATGTGCAAGAAGGTACCAGAGAACATGGTTGAACCATGTGATGGTGGTCTTGCAGTCAGGCTTGCCTTCTTCCATGCATCTGCATTTTAAGAAGGGTCGACCAACATTCCAAATCTTTTTTAATTCAGCAATGACATCCGAGCCCTTTGCTGAGCAGAAACTCCTAATGTGGAATTATGATGAGGAGATAGAACACTTTGCTGAGTCAAAATGTCCTATGGGAGGCAATTTCATAGCCAGTGGCCCGAGAGGATAAGGTCCCTTAATAAGATCCGTGTCCTCACCTAAAGCCTTGTCGTAACAAAGGTCCATCTCTGAATCAGAGAGCGAGGCGAGGAGTTTATATGCAGTGGTACTGATGGGGGCAGAGTGGTTAAAGGTATCTGAATCCCATGCCTTATCATGGAGCTTGATTGATTCAGACTCTACCCATCTGGGCAGTGCGAGAGAAAGAAACGCATTCCTATAGTACTTAGTGACTGTTTTTCGTTTTTTATTGGCCATTCCACTTTTGAGGTTGGATTTGGCCTTTGCGACTTCCGCGGCATGAAACTGCCTTTCCTCTTCTATAAGCTCCTGACCATCGTCATCCGAATCAGAATCAAAAGACTCAATGACAGGGCAGAGAACAATCCGTCGTGAATAGCATCCCATAACTCAACGAACGTTTTTTCTTTCATGGACAGATCATCATGGATAAATGCATGGACAAGGATGTCGAGATCAGCCACACCCTTTGCGTTCTCAACGAGGTTTTTGGAAAGTAGGGCGAAGACATCCTTATCATGAGACGCATACCAGATGATATCAGCCCAATCGTTGAATATTAGGACAGAGATCAAAGGGGGGTGAGGAGGAGGGACATCAATAGAATTGATCTTGACGAACTCTAAGACTGCGGGATTGGCCAGATCAATGAGTGCTTGCGCCGGTCAGGATGGTGCACGAAAGCCATCCAACCACTCACAATTTCCTCGTACCAAATCCACATACCACCCATTGGGAGTGAACGCAGGATTCTGCCACAAGAACGAACAATGCCAAGATTTAGAAGCAAAGTATAGAGAAGTTTGAGCTGAGTTATGCAATGAGAAAACCCTTTGTTTAAGAGCTTGTTTCCTTCCACATCCTACTAACCATAGGTCAGATTGTAAAAAAAAATATTTATAATAATATATATATCGCGTTGGGGAGGAATTTAGAGACACTCGACAAGGTGGAATCAACCCCCTTGATAGCAAAAGAGGGGACATAGACATTTCCCCGCTATGTGTGTGTGTTGAGAGAACAGGATGCTACCACGAATTAAATCGCAGCGAGTAACTCGTGAAACAACGCGCCAGGATCTATATACAATGCAATAATACACAATCTGACAACCGATATGGCATTCGGAGAGAAAGATAAGCTCTCAGGGATTGCTTTTCACAACACTTCTCAACTTCGACATTATCCAAGCCAAACAAGTTGGAGCAGCAGGGGTAAGAAAAAACATTTTTCGACTGCGAAGGTGGATGGAATGGGTATGAGAGAAAAACGATCGTGGATAAGAATCGCACCCGAACCAATCAACAAATTATATATGGAAATTCAGAATATAGAGTAGGTAGGCAACCAAGGAATGAAAAGCGAGATTAGGCAAATCATTTTGAGAGTGATTATGTAGGAATAATATGTTTCGCGGGGATTCTTTTTCGAAAACATTTTTTTGGGTGCAAAGAGATCACGAAAATGAGACAAATTAAAGAGGCATCATAGGAATCTTTCGAACAAGCACAATCACCAATGGACGGAGCAAGGACAGGATTGAGATTGAAATACGCAAAAAGGACAAGAGAAAAGTAAAAGCAAAGATTGAAACGCAAGTCGAAGAGCATTATTCCATCAAATATTGGAAGAGCGGCTATCGACAGTACTTGTATGAACACTCCATTGAGAAGGATAACCATGCCTGGTTGGGGACGACTACCTCAAAAAGGAAATTGTTATCAAGTTCTTCCACTATTCTGCTAGCCTACTACGTACTCATAGAAGCACATTACGAAGCAATAGAACTTATCTTCGCAATCTAATCAGGCGGCGATACATAGCAAAAGAACATCATCGTCGCAGATCGCAACCTGAAAAAGAAGGAAACTAAGACAAGAGCGAGGGCTAAAGCGATCCAAGTGAACCCAGTTTGCCCAGGGTGTGCGATACATACATCTTCCCCACCCTTGCTCAGAAACAATCGAAGCCCATCAATTGAACATATTGTTGACGCCGAAAAAAAAAACATTACGAACCCAAAGGTCATAACGACAAGAACCCCTTACAACTCTATTGCACCTTCGATCGAACATGACTATCATTTCTTCAAGACTACAACGTACCAAAACAGCGACACCACAACTGTTGGTAACTTCTGAACAACCCGTCAATCCGCACAACGATCGGAGCTCCTACTCCCTTCAAATACTACATGCGAGTGCAAACCCTCAACTGTATAGGTTTATTTGTGGAATTAAGAGGGCCACAGAAAGAATTGACACCATTGAAGTGAAGGGCCGATAATTCCATGACCACAAAGAAGGTTAACAAAGATAAGAAGATTGCAAAGACTGTCACAATGGCCACTCAAAGATGATCGGCGTCCATTAGGAAGTAGCGTTTAAACTCCCGTTACTCCTGATCAGCAGCAGAGGTCAATTCCTACGATACGACCCAGCCACAGAACATAACAGAAATGGAGCAAAAAATGATAAGTAACAGTCATATTCAATCAAGCAAAAGAATCATACAACGAAAAAGGTATAAAAAAAAAAAACGGGGGAAAAAAAAGGGGGAAGAAGGGTAGTCCCAATTCAGTTAAACGGCCCCAAGGTACCTGGCGAAACAGTAGGGTTATACGTGAGAATTACCAATCCCCACGTTGATTGGCTCATCAGGGGAGAAGGTAACCCAAAATATTCGCTCCGAAAGGGACGGGGCATTCATTCATGCCTTTAAGGGAATAGGAAGGAGGACAAGACTATAGTAGGGGGGGAGGAAAGATAGAAAAGGCTTTAACACATATGTCAACAGGGAGGAGGTGGGGTTTGGAGCGATGGACTAATTTACCACTCCAGTAGTTGAAGACGACGAATCATTCATCACCACAGCAAATCGTGTGAAAAAACTCTTCTGTCAAGGAAGGCGATGGACCAACGATCTCAAAGGTCAGAGAATCTGGGAAGCTTGGTGGTGGCGAAAGGAATGGCAAAAGTGAAAGCGATGGAAGAGAAGGCAAGTGGGGGCACTGGAGGAGGGAAGAGGGAGGAAGGGGGGAAACGGAGTCTTCAAACAGTAACGCAGGAGTTCCGAGAACGCATCGTTTGATTGACGCGGACGTGGGATCTGGGGCCGCCAGAGGTATGCACAAAATGCTACCGTATTACCGACGATCGCAGGAAGGCATACTTCAAGCGGCACCAGGAAGAGGACTATCACTGATTAGGGACAGTGCTAAATAGTAGTTTCGAAGAGGCAGCGGCTAATCCAGCTCTCGCGGCGACCTGAGAGTTGTGTATGCCAGATCGAGGACTAAACTGATGATGAATCGGTATTAGATCCCGAGATAAGTGTTGGGGGGTAGCTATACGGTCTTAGAGGCCCAGGAAAGGGTAGTACCGGAAGAAATCGGCAGGCACGAGTCATAAATGTTTAGAATATAACCCTTAGCAGTATGGAGGAAAAAAGCCTCATGCCTATATTTTATGGCGCTTTGTGCACTCAGCAGTCCGGTAATCATTTTTAAATATACATAAATAACTTTTTTTTTTTTTTTTTTTTTTTTTTTTTTTTTT